ACACTGAACTGCGTTCCTCTTCCAGCCAGGTGTGATAGACCTTTCTATTCACCCATCCAGGTTTTCTTGGGCTGGAAATTTGTTTCACTCTGTCTTTTCGTGGGTTTTGCTGCTCTAGAATTTGTTTAGAGCCATTTTTTACAGGTATTTGGAGGAGTTTGGGGGATAGCTCAAACAAGTCACTGTTTTCACTCTGCCATCTTGGCTCCTCCCCCGATATTATACATTTCTATGAATTTTTGAGGAACTACCAGAACATATTCCTTGATAGCCTTAGAACCAGATTAATAAAGGAATGAGTTAAGTAGAAAGCTTTGAAGTAGGGGGTTTGGTGGGGACTGTCAACTAGTGAAATGCTTACAACTATAAAGGTCACATAGGGAAATAATTACCCCCCCAAACTTGCCACAAAAGTAGATACAACATATATACAGAAATTACAGCTCAAGAACCTTCTATATGAGATCTTTCTCGAGTCTCCCCATCTATTACCATCCAATTACAGATCATATAAATTACCTTGTATTAATTTTCTAAATATTTCTGTATGTTGTCTCATCTAATAGTAAGTAAGTAAGCTTCTAGAGGTCAGCTATTTATATGCTGTCTCCTAACTAGACTGTATTGAGGATAAGGATCCATGTATCTACTTCCAAATCCCAGAGTAAGTACTGACATGTTTATCGAATTGAAATGTTCTTCCATGGATTTCTAATTAAACTAGGACTTTGTTAAATAATCTGTCTACAGGCATAAGTGAAGTGATACAATAAGAAGCTCTTTCAAGTACTTCCAAGTAATAAACCCCTTTGAATAGAATCCAAAGAGAATTTGTCTTATGGGAGATTCTCTGCCTTACCAGATTGTATAATGAGTATATAGCCAAGGCTGTTACACTCAGCCCATGGTGAACATGAAAGACAAAACTACTCCAGGTACCACCCACCACTGACTGAAGAGACTAAAACCATGGTGACTGCTCAATCTAGACGAGGATTTGTTGATGTTGCTTTAGCATATTTCCAAGAATAGTGCCAATGACACAGTGACTTTTACAATGGAATCAGTTTTTATTTATGTTGGTGACCTTAATATCTTTCATTTCACGATCCCTACTGCCAGCCCTTCCTTAAGAATAATTTTAAATTTTATAAAGCCCACTGTTCTTTTGCCTTCTAGGAATGAATGAAACAAAAAATAATTTATTAAGCTTTTACTGTAGGCAAAGCACTGTGCTAAATGTTGGGGATGAAAATAGGAAAATAAAACAAACCCTTCTCTCAAAGAATTCAAATTCTGATGGGGGGAGATGACATATATTATTTTCAGCTACAAAGTCAAGTGGAAATGTCCCATGGTTGTTAGGGTGCAATGATGAAACAACTGTAAATGTATCTTCTTTAATGTTATTTTCCCTGATAACAGTATATACATTTCTTAGTTTGAACTGTTTGACACTGTATACTCATGCATATATACACACAGGAATATGCCAATATAAACCTATGCTCATGCAGTCACGTTTGTGGCCACCACTGTGCCCTGAAATTGTTTCCTACTTTGCTGTCCACAATCCACAGATAAGAAGCTAAGCTCAAAGCAGGTTGTGAATATTGCTAGAGCAGAGAAAAGGGGAGGGACCAGCAATAATAAGTTAACGTGTATATTACCAAACCAAAGTCTTAACTGTAGTTTAAGCTTATAAGTTGATAATTAAGCTTACGGTGCTTCAAGGTTTGCAAAGTACTTTACAATTATGTCACTTGATCCTTCTAATAACCTTTTGAGGTGGGTGCTATTATCTCCATTTTACAAATGAAAAAACTGAGGCTGAGAGATGTTAAGTGGCTCGTCCAGGGTCCTACAGCTATATTAGTATCCAAGGCAGGATTCAAACTCAGGTTTTCCTGACTCCAAGTTCAGTGCTCTATCCACTGCATCATGATGCTCCCTCATGAGTAGCGTGAGCTAGGCCAATGTGTGCTGCTGGTTTAGGAAAAGAAGGTGTAAGAAGAAGTTGGATTTATAAGGTTTGTGCACTGCTGAAAAGGGAAGTGAGTAGCATGGATTGTAGGATATTAGGATTTAGAGCTGGTAGGGATCAAAAATAATTTAATCCAACCCTGTTACTGAGTAGCTGATTCTGCCCCTCCCATCTCTTTCGGTGATCTATCAAGGAGGGGTTCCTCAACAATTCAAATAATGCCACCCAGCTGTTCCCAGGGAAGATGGGGAATGGAAAACAAGGTCTGGGTAGAGTGTTGTGTTTCCCTCAGTTTGGAAACCAGTGCTGCTGCATATGGGAGACACATTGTTTAGGGATGGAGGCAAATGAATCATTATAAGCCAGCACAGAGCTGAAAATAATAATAATAATGATGATGATGATAACAGTAGTGAGCATTTATGTGGTGCTACAGGGTTTGTAAAATGCTTTACATGTGTTATCTTATTTGAAAACAAATACTTACTGGACTGCTAAGGGTATGTCAGAGAAAAGTTGTTGCATAGTGGACATGGTGCTGAACGCAAAGCCAGAAAGACCTGCCCCTTCTCCTAATGACTGATCATGTTATTACTTAACATTTGATTCAATTAAACAAGCATTTATCAAGTGTCTACTATGTGTGTCATACTGTGCTAAGCACTGGGGATAGAAATAAGAAAAAGAGACAGTTCCTGTCCTCAAGGAGCTTACAATCTAATGAAAGAAGATAACACCGCACAAAAGGAAGCTGTAAAGTGGGGGGGCGTGGAGGGTAATGGGGAATACCCAGTGTGGGGACATGTCCTGTGGAGTGGAAGCCAAGAAGCTGCTGATGGAGAACAGTTACTAGGAAGGCTCAGTCCTCTATAAAGGAAGGCTTTGGAGGGAGTATAGTGCTCTACCCTCCAGCCCTCCAGTCAGAGGAAACAAGAGGGTGGAGTAAAATGGGATAATAATACCTATAGTAGCTATTGAACAGGGTTGTCCTCAGGTGAATGAGGTAATCAGTACAAAATACTTAAAACCTTAAAGCACTATATAAATACCAGTTATTATTATTATTAATGTTACAATACCTCGAGAGACCTTTTTGAGGCAGAACCTGTTGGACTTCTTGTAAAAAGTTTCAAAACAACAGAGAACAGGGAGGGGCCTGCAACGAGTTTGCCAACATGCAGAGAACCATTTACTTGGGATGGAAAGGAATAAATTGGAGCAGTGATTGATTTCACATGGTAAAAACCATGGCAGGCAAAAAGGCCTCAGAGTGGAGCATTGGTAAAGAGGCAGCTAGGTGGTACAGTGAATAGAGCTCTGGGCCTGGAGTCAGGAAGACCTGACACTTACTAGCTGTGTGACTCTGGGCAAGTCTGTTGGGCTCAATTTCCTCATCTGTAAAAATGAGCTGGAGAAGGAAATGGCAAACCAGTTTCTTTGCCAAGAAAACCCCACCCCAGATGGGGTCACGAAGAGTTTCAGAAATGATTGAACAACAAAAAAGAAACAAAGAAGTGAGAATTCTCTAAAAAGCACCTAGGCCTTTCAGGTCAGGAGACCCAAGGGTTTTAAATAGAAGAGGAAACTGAGGCAGGAAAAGTGACTTGTCAATAGTTACAAAGGTAGGACACTGCAGAGCTAGAAGTCAAATCCAGATCCTCTAACTTAAAACTTCAACTCTCTTTTTACTATGCCGTGATACTGAGAGGGGGATGGGCTGGTACTGCTGAATGTAGCTCAGTAGCCTGGAGACCAGCCCCTGAATGAGGGTGGGTGATCAGGGTCAACAATCTCCTTGCACCTCAGTCTGGGCAATAATGAGCTAGCAGGATGAGAAGATTTTGTGGATTGGATGAAAAACCAGGCTGAAATAATGCCTTCTGAATTTGTGTAAGAACATGGAATCACTAGGCTATGCTTTTCTAAGAGCAACTTTCCTCTGCATGTTATGCAGGCTCATTGGTTGAACCAGAAATTCCTCAGCAAGTATGAAAATGTAAACCAATTCCAATGAAAGTCTCTTAACAAACCAGGAGTAGAACGAACACATGTTAATAGGTTCCCTTGTGGAAAGAAAAAGAATAAAAGCACCAGCAGTGGCTCAAATTATAAAACATTCCTATCACATTCAGAAATAGGACAGGGTTTTTTGCTGGCTCTTTGGTACCCACGACGAGGGATTCAGCTCATTCAAGTTCTACCGGCACATAGGCTGTATCTCTGCATGGCCAATAAAAGCAACCTCAGGTACGCTATTCATAACAATACAAAAAAAGAAAAAATACATAACAATTCATTAGGACTTTCTGATGTCATTTTATTCTTTATGTTTGCCAACATGAAGACATGGAACACTCACAAGATACTGTTAAAATGAAGTGAATCAACTTTTTTTTTTTTAAGAAACCTGAAAAATAATGGCACTGACAATTGCAGTCAGGAATATCATATTTCCTGCTAGAATAGTATTAAAAATATTTATTATATTAAAATATGTGAAAACATTTGCTTAGAAAATAGCTTAATTTTTACTTTTATTAATACGGAACAGAAATGAATTCTTCTTAAATGGTTCTCTGTGGAATATCCAATACTGCTTAGGAAAATGCTAAGTACACAGCCAATGAGTCCACACTTGTCACTACAGAACTTCCCGTTATGATATTGCTCAATTAGTCCTATTCTTTTCAAAACAAAGCTTACTAAATCCACTGTAAAATAATTAGTATCCTGTCAAATATCTCCAATACAGAAGAGGATATTGTGCTTAAAGACATAATAAGCAGGGAACACTTTGCCATACTTACAAAAAACCAAAACTTTTTATTCAAACGCTGAAAGCTCCTAATAACAGTGGAAGCCAAATTTAAACCTCAACAAACTTCTTAACATTGTGGCCTTGGAAGGTTTTCTTTTTTTCATAATCTATCAACTTGCAATGGAGTAACTTTTGTAACACACTTTTTCCTTCATAACTTAATAATTTTTTCCTACAGGAAATGTTTCCTATATTTGCAGGAAATGTGCCCCAATAAAATGTGATTTTTTTTTTTTGGTGGTAGGAGAAGTTCTGGACAGACATGGAGCATTCAGAGAACTTGATAATGGGTTGTGCACTCAATCCACCACATCTCCTGCATCCCCTCCTGCATCCCATAAGTCAAGCTGGCCTATAGCTTCCAAGAAGCATCCCATTCCTTTAATTCTGTCTATTTGCTCTCTTCCAGGTAGAGGTTATGGTCCTCAATGTAGGAAATGACTGAGTCTGGAAGCAGATACTTCACACTCTGTCCTCGGCACAAGGCTTGTCTTATGGCCGTGGCACTCAAATCACTCTGTACCACATTCTTGACTAGATGTATATTATGTTGATAGCGAGTTAAAATGGCTGATTCAGAGATATATTGTTTTGGGTCATGGCCAGCCCTGGTAACACACACCAAGCCAAACTTTTCAACTATTTCTTGGATGTGTTCATCTTTCCAGAGGTTGGGGGTTTGAAATGTCTTCAGGACATCCGAACCACAGAGCAGCTTTAACTCAGGAGCAGCTGAAAAAACAAGGAGGTTCACTGTGAAGTTACAGAGGGATTGTTTTAAAGATGATATCACATTTATTTGGAAAATTTTATTATTTCATTTTTTTCCCTTTGGAATATGGAAGGTACCCAAATGTTTTAGTGTTTATGCTTTAAAAAACAAATAGAAAATACAAACAGACCTAGAGCTGTACTACACACAAGTTTAGTTAGTTAGATTCTCATTTAATACTTGGAAGTAATATGTAATAATGTAAGGGAGAGAATCTCTGATTATAGTTTTGTAGCTAAATTCAGTTTCATCCAACAAATGTTTATTAAGATCCTACTAGGTGCAAGACACTATTCTATTTTTCCAGGGATCTCACTGAGCTTAAATTTTAATGATGAGGGGAAGGGGATAGAAAAGGATACAAATACTTTTGAAAGTAAGATAAATGTGAAGGAAAAGTCCAGGTAAACTGGTCTGGAAACTTTGAGGGAGGAAGCCAAAGTCAGCATTTGCAACATAAGACAAATAGCTGTGGTCCAAAGTAGTACCGGCATTTCACTCTGTGCCACATCTTCCTATTAAAAATCAAGGATAATCTACATTTATAGGCTCAATTGTATCACAAGAAATATCATAATGACAAAAATCTCTCTCAGCCTCAATCATAGCCCATTTTTTCCAAACATTATTCTACACAATGAAATTCCAACAGAACCAAAGAATCTGGGCAATTCCTTGGAGTTTGTTGTGTTGACACTTGTTTAGTATATGCACTTTAACCACATAGTCTTTGGAAGCACAGTGGGGTAAGCCGTTATCTTAGCATAACTCAGTTTCCTTTTGTTTGCAATATTGTGAAGTATAAAAATAAATATGATAGAATAAATTTATCTTTTAAAATTCATTTTAAAAGCGAATTAGTCTTTTCCTTCCTTCATAAAATAATTCCATCCTCAGAACATTGCACTTTTTATTCCAATGTAACTAAAAGGAAGTTGCAGCTTCATAGATACTATTGCACATGCTGGGGGTGGGAGGTGGTGGGAAAGACCTAGTTCAAAAAATGGACATGCATTCCTAGCATCCTTTAAAGCCTCACCAAAAAAGCTTGCTAATTTAGCATCTGTGGTAATTTGGACACAGCTTAAGTAGGCGGCTACTTTTGTACCATCTGTGTTAGTGAAAAGTTCTGTAAGGATGTAAAAACATTATGAGGGAGAAGTTTAACTTAGTTAATAGGGGGAACTATGCAAAAGCTTTAGCAGAATCATTTATCTATCATGAATGGATTAATTACTAATGATTCTTATCTTTTCATTAAGGCATGACCTCTACTTATACATTTGGTTAGTTCTTTTATATGTACTCAACTTGAAAGTAATACAATGATGTTAGTCTATAATTCATACTTTTCACTATTTCAGACTGGCCTTTCAGCAATCAACAAACATGTGCTGATGAGAGTTATATTGGAAATAGTCCTGACTTGAGATTCAAGCCCTAGGTCTGCCACTAATTAGCAAGTCACATCATGTCTCTGAGCTTTGGTCTCCTCATCTACAAAGAGATGGAATTACATTACATAATGCACAAACCCCCTTCCAATTCTGTGACTCACTAATCCAAATTTACCAGTTTTACTTTCTTGCCATTGTAAAAAGAGAGATGTTTGTTGTAAACTCTGGGGGATGATTTGTATATTTATATGAATTCTGATTGTGAGATGAAAGATATTATCCTATTTACTAGTATTTTCCTATGTGGGACAATGAGGCCTTTGGGCCCAAGGCTACATTGTAACATCCTTCATGAATGAATTAACCAAAAATGCATTTATTAAGCACTTAATAGATGCAAAGCATTGTGCTAAACACTAGGGATACAAATAGAAAAGCTAGACTGTCCCTTCTCTCCAGCAACTCATATTCTAATAGGAGGAGACAACACATAGAAGAGGGTACACATCAGATGGAAAGGCTCCGTAGTCTTAGGTGCAGTGGTGAAGCACATGATTATGCATCTTCTTTTCACTGATAAAAACATTATCTAATTCTGATGTTGGACCATCAGCTACTGCTTTCTAACCCCTTTACCTATATATGCAGACTCTCTAACCTTTAGTTTTTAAAATATTCAGGTAATTTCTAGATGGATTAAGAGTTAGGTAGCAGAGTGTTCAGACAATTCATATTTAATTCTTCTGATGCATGTGACTCTGGGGAAGTCACTTTCTTTCTTCTTGTATAATTCTTCCCTACCCACCAAAAAGAGGATACTTCCTTCTAATCTGAAGCTGATGTTTTGGGAACTGAGTTTTCAGCACCTTAGGCCTGGGTATTATTCGATTAAGTTAATGATGAAAATAAAAGGGAATGTATCCCAAACATATCTCCTATAGGGTAAAAGAGTGCCCAGTATCACATCAATGCTCCCGTTAGCAGTGACGGTCCTTCCTGTTCCACCATGGCAAATAGCACATTACAAAAGATTGCCTCTAGCAGTCAAGCCTGCTTCAGATTTCAGCTCTGGGCGAAACCATCATCCATCCTAACAAAGGAATTCAAATATTTCCTATGAAATTCTCCAGACTGAGTAGCTTCTGCTTTCCAAGCTCAAAGAGGACGAATTGCTGGTGTTGCAAAAAGACAACCAATATAACTTGTCCTAAAGGCAATAAAGTGAAACAAATATAATGTCCTCAGTGTTCTCTGGCAGTTCACTAAATAACAACAATGAAAGGCTGCATCCTCAATGGATAATGGTCCTAAAGCCCGTGGGCTTCTGTCTGGGCTACAATTCAAATGAGCACAAAACACTCCAGTCTGTGCCAAAGAAGCTGTACCATTTTTTTCATTCGTTTTGATTGGTGGCCCCAAATCAATAATGGTCGCAGAAGTGAATTATAAACCTTGGTGGTGTCATGCAGAGAAGGAGAAGGGGTTAGCCAAAGGAGCAACAACCACCAGCAGCCCACAGGATGTGACTGGATCCTTGAAAGTGCAAAGCTTAATTAGGAGAGGCTTCTACTAGATGAAGTCAGGTGAGAGCAGGGACATGGGGGGGAGGAAGGGAGAGAGGGAAGAAAGGAAGGGAAGGGAGAGAGAGACAGAGACAGAGAGAGACAGAGAGATAGAGAGAGACAGAGTGAGAGAGTGAGAGAGAGAGACAGAGACAGAGACAAAGAGGATAATTTGAAAATCGACAAAGAAGTCATTCATGTAAGGTGATTCAGAGCCTTGAAATACAGCATATTCGATTTAAAATGAAAGAAGATCAAGTGTTTCTATCTGTAAAAAGGAAAGGAAATACCATCTAGTACATGAAACTGAATTCAGCAAAGCAACCAAAGAGGTGAACACATGCTTTAGAGAATCATACATAAGAATCAAGGGGGACAGTGAAGGGACTTAAGATACCATCAATCTAGAAGCTTCACAAGCTAAAGTAGAACAGAGTTCAGAGATGAACAAGAATATGTAAGTGAGTCTAAGGAGGGCAGCAAATCACAGAAATGATGGGAGAAATACTTTTCTGGCAGCAGGAAAATGAAGCTGCAGAAACTAATATGCTACATTCATAGGGAAGAGAGATTAAGCTGGTTCTGCTTGGTCCCACAGGGTAGAATGAGGATCAATGGGCAGAACCTAAGAGGTGGGAGCTTTCAACTCTATATAAGGAAAAACTTTCTAACTATGAGAGCAGTAATAGAACAAGTCCACTGACTCTGGAAGTAGTGCATTAGCTCTAATTGGAAATGTTAGAGGCAGGATGACCACTGGACATGGAATATCATAAAGGAGATTCATAATTTAAGAGCATCAGGTTTGGAGTCAGAGAACATGGATCTAGATACCAGCTTTACCATTTACCATTTTGGTCCTCTTTGGACAACAACTAACCACCATTTACCACCTGGGTGATATTGGGCAAATCAGTTCAGCTCACTGAGTCAAAAGTCCATCCTTTGTAAACTAAAAAGGCTGGACGAGGAGATCATTAAGGTCCCTTTTGGCCTTAAATCATATGGCCTTTAAAGTCCATTTCAAACTCTGAGATTTCGTGACAGCATACTCATTGGTAGATAAAAAGAAAAATGTTGCTTTCATTATAACATTATTCTACATTCCCCACAATAATCTCTCTCTTCTCTAAATTACCATAGCATTTTGTATCTTTACACTTTCATATTCTACCCTATTTGTGGAGATGTCTTCTCTTTCCTACTCGACTGCAAGCTCTTTGAAGTCAGGGAATTGGATTTAGTCTCATTTGTATCTACCTTAGAGCCCTGAACAGTACTTTGCATATGATAGGGGCTAAAGAAATATTTATTGAATGAACTGAACAACAGAATACTTCATGCATTTAATAGGGTTTAAAAAGGAATACCTATTTTATATATATATACATATGTAACTTCACAGAAGCCAAATTATGCTACATTAATAATCCCTATTTTTCACTTGATGAAAATTTCTTTTGGCTACATGAAATTAAAACGGTAAGAAAAAGGCCTTTAATGTTGTCTTGGTTATTTAGTGGCCTTAGAAGTTTTCTAGAAATTTTCTAAAAGTGTTGCTTTGAGGAGCAAATGATAATATGTGTAAAATGCTTTGCAAATTTTAAGGCATTCTATTATTATTAATTACTATTATTTTTAAAACCATGTTGGAAAAGAATGCTCAAGACTCTTAATTTTTATGTCTGAAAAACAGAAATATATAATATTTCTCATTACCTTGTACTTTTAGGATCAGAATATTTTAGGTTTAGAGCTAGAAGTGACTCAACAAAAATCCAATCAATACCTTTTATTGTAGGTAACAACTGAAAAGCTGAGTGGGCCAGATTACCTTTTCCCTTTTTAAGAAAATCCAGTCTTTTGGGAGGGAGTGAAGAGACAGTCAGAAAAGCCATTTAGAGACTTAAGCACCAAATGGGAAGAATGCTAGCCCACTGAAAGTCTTTTAGGCTCACCGATACTGAATTACATCTAAGGAATCTCTGGGGTTGCATATTCGGGCATAGGGCGTACATGAGAAGCTCTCCCCAAATGACAACAGTTCTCACTTTGAAGATCACATTCCATTGGGGATACCATGCAGACATATATGTACACACAAAATAAATACTACATAATTTTTTGAAAGAAGAATGAGCAGCATGGGGGGTGGGGAATCAAGAAAGTACTCATGGAAAAGATGGCTTTTGAGCTGATTTCTAAGGATTCTAAGTGGGGGCTGAAGTGGGGGTGTTATTGTAGCACAGGAGTCAGTCTATGCACAAATACAGAAGCAAGAGATGTATTGTCATGCAAGAGAAAAATCAGAAAGGCCACTTTGGTTGTATCAAAGGCTATATGAAGGGGAGTAATGTTTAATAAACCTGGAAAGATACAATACAGCCAGTATGAAAGGGTATTTAAAATAGGTCTTACAGATCATAGGTCTAGGTCTAGAATTAAAAAGGACCTCAGAGGTCATCTAATCCAATCCTCTTATTTCACAGATGAAGAAACTGAGGCTCAGGGAGATTTAAATGTCTTACCCAGGGTCACCCAGATAATAAGGGTCAGAGGTGAGACCGCCTTCCTTTTGGGAGGACTGTCTTATCAGAATGCGTCCCCAACTGCACCATGTGAGACTTACATCATACTTTGTAAACACTGCAAAAACCATAGGGATTAACAGGGACAAGAAAAACCCACATATGTGATACCACCATCATTCAAATTTGTGTTTAAAATTTCAAAACGTTTCAGCATCTGGTGAACCAACTTTATTTTAAAGGGCCAGTCCCTTTAATGCATACTTTCACTGTTTAAAATCACAGTCATATTTTATTTCCAATAAAGGATTTTCAGTCCAGGGATTTTTAAAGCAACAACAACCATCACCACCACTATCACCACCCCAGACTAACAACTAGGTAACAGCTACAAATGCTACTGCTTTCTTTCAGCTGACAACTCCAAACCACAATGACTAGGGGCCACCCTACTCCATCAGAGTGTGAGAAGTTACAAGGTCACTGGGCTTACAGTCAGGAGAATCCAGTCTCTGACACTTATGTGACCATGGGCCTGGTATATTGCTTTTCTAAGCCTCAGTTATCTTATCTGTAAAATGGGGATAGGGTGGGGGTAAGTGGGTTTGATTTTGATGACCTTCCAGATCTAATCATGTGATCAGCACAATAACCTTGTGGGTGGGTAGGAAACTTTTTATACCTTTGACATATGTGGAAACTGAGGCAATGGAGAATGGTAAAATGATTTGCCAAAGGTCATTTGGCTGGCTGGTATTGGTACTAGGATTTATACCCAGGTCTCCTCTATTCACATTCACTGCATCACCTGGCCTCTCAAACATTTTATGCTTCTAATCTTTGTTTTATAGCATTTTCTTCATTTAAGAAAAAAAGTGCTATTTATAATAATCACAAACCTGTATGTGCTGGAGTGGCAATACCCTCAGTAGGTATTTCTGACTCTGCTCTGGAGCTGGTGGCCTCTTTTCTCCTGGGTAAGGATCTGAGCAATTCACTGTAGTGGTGTCTGTATTTTTTACAAAAAAAAGAAAAAAAAGTTTCTATATGAGCTAATCATCACAGATACATAAAGGGATGACTTTGCATTTTCAGATTTCAAAAACCACCATTTGACTTTACTTATTTCAGCTTTGAATGAAGTAATTCATGAATACATTATATTCATCATCTATTGTTGAGATCTGTTAGAAATAAATTAAAACGATACAGAATGTTCCAAGTCTTTCTATTTAAAAAAATAGTTGTTGAATATTCTTTATTTCTCTAGGAGCACACACCCATTACAAAGACTTCTCAAATAGATGCAGATTGCCAAAGAAAATGCAGACATTCCTGGATTTAAGAAAAATCAAATACAGGCAACTTTCAATTGATGAATGGGTTGTATTTTTTAAAAAATTGTTAGTTTGTTTCTTGGCATTTTGAAGGCATCTTTCCCTTATTACATAGGGGGCTAGCTTTCCAGGCTAGCAGTTTATAAAAACACATATTTAACCCAAAATGTACCTTAACTACAGTACTAAACATATGCCAGAACTTGAATCACCATACATAACAATGTGTCCATGAGAAAATGTGTTCAGTATCTCAGCCTGAGATGTCAGAAATACAGTATTCATACTCTGGACCCATTACAATATTAATAGCAGGAATGAGGGTTCTCTTATCCTCATCTACTGCAAGTAGCTTAGGGGAAAGACTGCTCAGTGACACTGATAGTGGCAGGTGGCCTAGCTCAAGGGCTCCACAGGGATGGAGACTGTGAAAAAGAAGTGAGAGATTTGTGGGATGTGGGAAGGGTGAGGAGTCAGTCAGATAGGCAGGGCTTATGAGGTTCTGCTGATGAGGAGTGGGATTAGGCTGAGGATGAGACAAGTAAGGTTGGGGTGGGAATGGGGTTAGTGGGGGTATTCCAAGGTATCAGATAAATGTATGTATATCCCTAGCACCAAGCACAGTGCCAAACATACAGTAGGTGTTTAATAAATGCTTGTTAATTGATGAATGATTCCAGACTCCCAGATGGCTTAGGTGACAATAGTGTCCTTTTTCTTATACAGTTCTCACAGAAATCATGCTCAATTTTCCTATCCTAAATGATGCTTCTTTTAAGGTTTATCTCATGATTCAAAACCTCTAAGGGAGCCTTCCCTGTTTAACTTTCCAACTATTTACCTCTCCTAGCACTTAAGATGCTCTTTTGTTGTTCAGTTGTTTTAGTCAATCAAACTAGTTTTCTAAAATGTTATATGCCAGCAGGATACTACAAGAAAAAAACCAGGTAAAACAACTGGACTTTAAGTCAGAAGACCTGGTCCAAATTCTGACTCTAACACCTACCATGAGGTGAATTTTTTCCCTTTTCTGAGTTTCAGTTTACACATCTGGAAAATGGATAACACTTTTACTCCCTTTCTTACAGGGGTGTTGTAAGGAAAGTCTTATTCAGCTATAATAATAATAAGAAAAATTATGGGTTGAAAAAAATTATATCTGACATCTCTTTTAAAATCCTGGCATCCAAAATCCATTGGGAATTGACACAAATGTATTAGACTAAGATTCTTTTCCCAATAAGTAACTGACCAAAGGATATAAAGAAACAATTTTCAAAGAAAAAACTCAAACTATCAGTAATCATACAGAGAAATGCAAATTAAAGCTACATTTCAATATAATTTGACCCATCAATTTGGCAATGATTAATAGCAGTGCTTTTGCAGACTTTATCTTGTAGGTTCACAGGGAAAATCACATTAAATGATAAAAAGTGATTAATTTTCTTAGATAATTACCAGGGAAATTTGGATTAAAAAAATAACAAAGTCTGGGTTCAATAATGTTGGGTGGAAACAGCTAAAAATGTAGCAGACGTAATCATAGTCCACTTTTGCCCACTGTGTGAAAGTTATTTCAACTCTCTCTCTTTTTTTTTTTGGGCAACTGGAGACTTGCCCAGGGTCACAGAGCTAGTAAGTGTCTGAGACCAGATTTGAACTCAGGTCCTCCTGACTCCAGGGCTGGTGCTCTATCCACTGTGCCATCTAGCTGCTCCCCCTGTGGTTGATTTTCAACAGAGAGAAGGCTCTTTCACTCCTATTGTTCTTTAACATAAATGAGCATTGCATTTTATTTGCATCTAATTTATATTATATTACATCTATTGACACAATCATGTTTTTCATATATACATACATATAAATATAAACAAACACACATACAGATACATACATATATAAAATTAAAGTAAATGTTTTCCTAACGGTGAATCATTCTTGTACATATGGCAGACATCCACTTTGGTCTGAAAGAATTTTTTTTGGGGGGGTAGATAAACTGCTATAGCTTTTTTCACTAATGTTTTATGTAAAATTTGTGTCAATATTAGGGATGTTTTTGGTTATTTAGCTATTTGGTACTTTTGTAGGTATTTATCCATTTTCTTTATAAACTTGGTTTTGATGACATATGCTTGGGTATAGAAGTTTCTAAGAATCTTCCTTATTTCCTTTCTAGTCATCATCAATTCACCTGCTTTGTTTTTTTATTTTGGCAATTTTGTCTCATATTCCCTTTAAAAATTCTAATAGCTTATCAATTTTGTTAGTTTAAAAATGTTCTTTTTTTGTTTATCAGGTCACAAGTCTTTTCTGTTTTAATTTTGTTTCTGTTTCCTTTTTGCTTGGGTTTTTTTTTTGTGGTGGGGGTTAATTTATTCATTTTCCATTTTTAAAAATTACATGCCCAATTACTAATTCCTTTCTTTTTCTATTTTTAATGTAACTTTTTAAGATATATATTTTTTCCTCCAAGGATTGCTTTAGCCGCATTCCATCTTTTTGGTATGTTGCCTCACTCTTATCATTTTCTTTAATATAATTTTAACTGTTTCTATGACATTAACTCACTCACTAATCTAGATATCATTATTCTATGCCATCTTGCCATTTTCTCTGCTACTGCCCCATATCTCCCCACTGGGAATTGTAGTTCTAAGACCAGGCTTTTAGAAATCACATCCCCCGTTGAAGGGGGCATTAATCCATTCAGCTTCTGAATTCTTATCCTGGGGCAGAGCTTTCTTGACTGGTGAGCACGTATGAACTGAACCTGCCCATTGATATAGTCAACTATATCAGGTCACTCCTGGTGACCCTTCTGAGGTCATATTGAGCCATCTACCTGGGACATCTTGCTACTTCCCCTCTGTTTTTCTACCTTCTATCCCAAGTGCAGCAATCAAATCAATACTATCTTTTTTTTTTTTTTTTGGTCAAGAAAAGACATTTCAATTGGCTGCCCAATGAATTAACTCCTCATCCTTGTGACTTCCTAGGCCATAACTTCCTTGGCCATCACTACCCTTTATGTGTTATCTCTCCATCTTAGAAGGGAAGGTCCTCAAGGGAAGGAATGGTCACACTTTTGTATTTGTATTCCTAGTATTGAGCACATTTCCTGGCATACAGTAAGGGCTTAATAACTCTTTTCAATCATTTATTCATTTTATTCTTTGGCTTTTGTTCATATTTCTTTATTGATTACTGTCTTTGTTGCTTTATGGTTTCTGAAGGATATTTACTATGTCTTCATTTTATATTGCTTGTTATTTGGAAGGGGAGCTGGACTTATATACCATCACATTGCTTCAGAAGAAGCAATACAAGGACACTCTCAAGGTCTCTGAAGAACTCTGGAATCTATTTTGAGACATGGGAGACACTGGCATGGCTTGCATCAAAGAAGGCTGTGCTCCAAAAGCAGAACAGAATTTCAGTAGCTCAAAAGAAACACGAGATGTGTAAATTTAGAGACATCTCTGTTCCAAGTGTTCATACGGACTATTTGTGACAGATCTGGGGTAGAACCTTCCGAGCTTGTATTGGTCTGATCAGCCACAGTCGGACACACTGTACCTTGACCTCAATGTAGTGATGTCATTTTGGTCCTCTTCAAGAATGAAGGACAACAACCTTCTGTATATGACTCATTCTTACAAAACAATCTATATATATATATATATAGATGTTATACACAAATTGACCTCCTCGATAATTTTTAGTACGAGTTTTTTTTTAGACCAATGGATGGCTTCTTTTAAAAATAATTCATGCCTTCTATACATATACTACAAGAGGTGTAGAAGTAGTGTAACTGCCTTACCTATAAAATGCACATAAACTAGTTAGTAAAGCATATATTTCTCCTTAGTGACTGAAGCCCTCCTCCTCCTGGTGCAATGAAAATGAAATCTGGATTAATAAGGATTCTATGAATTATTCTCATTTATCAATTGTTATTCTCTTCCCCAGAGCCTCAGTGATTCACAGCAGGTAAAATCCACAATCTCCAATTTACAACCCCATTCAGGAGAGTTTTGTGGCTACCATGACTTGGCAGATAAATACCACAATCTCGTCTGGCAACAAGATACCAAAAACACTTTCAAGTTTTACAGGCATAGGTTTGTGCTTCATTGGCAACTCTCTCTTAAAGTCTCCCAAATGCAAGTCAATAACTCATTACACTAATATGCCGAACCTGCATACTGAAACTGCATGGATCATTTAAATAGCTAAATTATCTATGCTGTGCACTAATCCCAACTTTTAAAAATCCAATTAAGTGCCTCCTGAATAAATATTTCAAGATTTATAGTCTGTTTTTTCTACTTTAAATAAAAACCTGAATTTGGAGGCCCCAAGATTTGGACAATGAGAATATGGGGCTAGGAATCCAAATAAAAATTTTAAAACAGAACCATAGACTGGTAAGGGTCAAAAGGGGTTTTGACTTTATAAATCATAGAGTATTCCCTCATTTTGTAGATAGGTAAACTGAAAGCTGTAGGAAAAAAGACTTGCCCATAGTCATAAGAATAATTAGTAGCAGACCTATGATGTGAAAGTAAGTCCTTTGGATCCAAATAATTAATTAATCAAAAAGTACTTCTCAAATTCTTATGATGTGCCAGGCACTGTGCTAACATTATAGATACAAAAAAAA